TCGGCCACCTCCTGCACACTCCCTTACTGGGGATTGTGCCCGCAACCCAGGCATGTGCCCTTGACTGAAATTGAACCCAGGACCCTTCAATCTGTAGGCCAATGCTCTATCCACTGCGCCAAGCCAGCTAGGGCTCACCTGCACTATTAATACCATAAAACTGTTTCCTAAAACTGGGCCTTATGTTGACATCATCCAGAAAACACTCGCAAGCATCAAAGCCTGAAACTGTCTCCTGGTGGGCACAGGTGGCTAAAAAGTAATCCACCCTCCAATAGGCCTTTGATGGGGATCTTGCGAAGACGTCTGTGGAAAACTATACCTCTAAAAAAACAAAAACTGAAGAATTGGTGGTGATTTTGAAGAGACATTGATTGAAGAGTAAGAAATCCAAAAAATCAGCTGGAAGATGGTATTCTTGAAGTTCCTATGTATCTGTCTCCCTCTGTGCGGTGGTGGCTCCAATATCGGACAGAATGACTTCTTGGCTTCTGCTCCCCAAATCCATACATGTGAGGAATATTGGTATATTTTAACATGGAACCACAGAGAAAGTGAATCCTGAAAAATCTACTTTCTACCACTCCCAAAAGAGGGAATGGCTCCAGCTGAGAAATTTTACCCTATCACAGAACTCCTCTTTTTTTTAAATCCTCATCTGAAGATATGTTTTTAATGATTTGAGAGATAGGGAGGGAGAGAGAGAGAAGGGAGAGAAGGGAGAGAAGGGAGAGAAGGGAGAGAAGGGAGAGAAGGGAGAGAGGGAGAGAGAGAGAGAGAGAGAGAGAGAGAGAGAGAGAGAGAGAGAGAGAGAGAGAGAACGAGCCATAAGAAATATCAACCAGTTGCCTCCTGCCTGGAATCAAACCTGCAATCCTTTTGGTGGACAGAATGATACTCCAACTAACTGAGCCATCCAGCCAGAGCAAGTCTCTCTTCTTAAATCAACATCTACTTACCACATGTTGGTCAAAAGAAAAAATTTAACAGTAAAAATAATAACTCACATAAAACTTCATTCTTTCATAGACATAACAAAATTTACTCCAACTTTTTCTAAGAGTGGGAAAAGTAGGATTTTTTTACACACACACACACACACACACACACACACACACCAAAAAAGACTTATTGAATAAGAAATGGAGAATATATACTAGTGTAATAGATGAGAAATGTGCAGGAACTGTCACAAGGCCTGTAGGAAAGTCTCAACTTAAACCAAACTGTAATTTTTCAATAGCCCTTTAATACATACAAAAATAAACATCTTTAAAAAATAAATCTAATTGCATATTAGAAATACACTTGAATTAACCCATAAATCTAAGACTTCAAAATATAAAAAGACAATGTCAGCGATTAAATCACTACCTCGTCATGTTATAGACTATTGCTAAAAGACAACTCGAAGAACTGTCTCCCATCGATATTCATTTCTGAAAATAGTTTCAGTTGACCCTTGAACAACATAAGTTTGAACTGCACAGTCCACTCATATTGGGGTTAAAATCTCTGTAAAAAAAAAAAAAAATGGGAATCCATACCTGCAGAGGCCCAGCTGAAGTTGCAGGTGGATTTTTGATGATGTAATTGGTCAATGTTCCTAACTTCCCCTCCCCCTTTCCAAGTGCCTACTTCAGTAAAAACCCAGTATTCAATGATGCACTATTTAGTAAGAAAAGAAAGAAATTGGGTGAACATAACTTATAATTTTATTACCAACCCTTTAATGTTGAAAATTTTCTACAATATTATATGTATATGAATTTGTTTAATTCTCACCTGAGGATATGCTAGGATTATTAAAATTGGTTTGAGAGAGAGAGAAAGAGAGGAAGAGAGAGAGGGAGATGGGGAGAAAGGGAGAGAGGGAAAGAGGAAGAGGAAGACAAAGAGTTACAATTTTATTTCTAACCTTTTAATGTTGAAAATTTTCTACAATATTATATATGAATTAATTTGTTTAATTCTCACCTGGGGATATGCTGGAATTTTTAAATTAATTTTACAGAGAGAGAGAAAGGGAAAAGGAGAAGGAAAGGGAGAGGAAGAGAGGGAGGGAGAGGGAGAAGGGGAGAGAGAGAAACATTGACATGAAAAAGAAAGATCCTTTCAGTTACCTCCCTTACACGCCCATACCAGGAATTAAACCAAAAACATGGGAATCTACCCTGACTGGACATTGAAACTACAGACCTTTAGTGCATGGAAATGATACTCCAACTGAGTGAATCACATCAGTCAGGGCTATATTAATTACTTTTCATCATGTATTCTTACCATTATTTACATTTTCATATTTTTGGTGGAAGTTTTACAAGTAAGGATATGGGCCAATTGAAGCATTTCCCACACTAATTACATTCAAGAGATTTGACCCAGTGAGTCCTTTCACATCTTCAGGAGAGAAATGACTGAAGATTTTCCCACATGCCTCACATTTCCGTAGTTTCTCTGAGTACACTCTCACCTTGTGATTTTGAAGGATTTTGTTAAAAGTAAAGGCTTTTCTGCAGACCTGACATTCATAGTTCTTATTCCAGTGTGAGTTCTTTCATGTCCTTGCAAGGAACTATGTTCAATGTAGGCTTTACCACATTGTTTTCATTCATCTTGTCTGTTTTCAGTGTGAGTTCTTTTGTCTCCGATGCAAACTAAGGCAAGTGAATGCTTCCCCACACTCCTTACATGGATATAGTGTTATGTCAAGTATGCATTTTCACGTGTCTTTTAAGGGATTTTCGAGAAATGAAGGCTTTACCGCAATGTTTACATCCAAAGGGCTTCTCTCCAGTGTGAGTCCTTTCATGTATTTTTAAGAAACTGTAGGATATGAAGGCCTTTCCACACTGCTTACATCCATAGGGTCTCTCCCCACTGTGGATTCTTTCGTGGATTCGAAGATTACTGGGATATCTGAATGCTTTACTGCATTTTTTACAGACATAAGGTTGCTCTCCTTTGTGAATCCTTTTGTGCATTTGAAAATAACCGGAATATCGGAAGGATTTTTCGCACTCCTTGCATTTGTAAGGTCTCTCTCCTGTGTGAGTTCTCCCATGTGTTTGTAAGTTACCAGAAGACCTGAAGGCTTTCCCACATTCTTTACATCCATAGGGTTTCTCCCCTGTGTGCGCCCTTTTATGTATTTGTAAGGAGTTAGAACTCCTGAAGGTTTTCTCACATTCTTTACACTTATACCGCTTTTCTGCAATATGAGTTGTTTCGTGTTTTCGGAGGTAATTGGGAGCGCTGAACGCTTTACCACAATGCTTGCACTCATAGGGTTTCTCTCCCGTGTGAGACCTTTCGTGTATCTGTAAGGACCTGTGATTAGTGAAGGCCTTTCCGCATTCCTTACACTCATAGGGTTTTTCTCCTTCGTGAGTTCTTCTGTGCTGTTGTAAGGCACTGTACGATCGGAAGGCCTTTCTGCATTCCTGACATGCGTAGGGTTTCTCTTCAGTGTGAGTTGCTTCATGTATTCGAAGGTAACTGGGATACATGAATGCCTTACCGCATTTTTGGCACAAGTAGGGTTTCTCTTCCGTGTGATTTCTTTCGTGTCTCTGAAAACTTTTAGGACACCTGAAGGCTTTCCCGCAGTGTTTACATTGATAGGGCTTCTCTCCCGTGTGGGTGCTCTCGCATATTTGCCGTGCAGCGGAAGAACTGAAGGTTTTCCCACACACCTTACATTTATAAGGGGCATCGACAGTGTGTGTGATCCTGTGCCTCTGGAGGGCTTTGAGCCACATAAATGTTTTCCCACATTCCTCGCATCTATAAGGTTTCTCAACGTTGTGATTTTGTTTGTGTTTTTCAAAACACTGAAGATAACGGAAAGCTCGCCCACATGTGTCACATTTATATGGCTTCTCTCCATACTTATCATACTCAGCCGGCTTGCGTCCAGAGTGACACCTAGTGTGCCTGTTACCGGGTGAATGAGCCATGATGACGTTTCCATGCACACTGTCTTCCCAGGGTTTTACTGATGGAGACATTTTCTTCTTCACATTAATACTGGGAATAAAGCTGAAGGTTTCCCCATACGGACTACTTTTTTCTCCTGTACAGGGCCTCTCGACCATATGAATTCTGGAGGAGGGGGGAATAAAGAAGCACATTATTAACAATTTATTTATTAGTGATGTTATGTATTTATTAGTAGAATATTTGAAGTATTTTTTTTTATCATTTATAGCAAAATTGTAAATATTCTGCTTGATGCGTGTTGTTTGAAATAGAACACACTGAAACCTCTAAAAGACAACTTTGCCTTGCAATTATTAAAACAGTGACATTCAGCCGGGACCGGTTTGGCTCAGTGGATAGAGCGTCGGCTTGGGGACTGAAGGGTCCCAGGTTTGATTCCGGTCAAGGGCATGTACCTTGGTTGCAGGCATATCCCCAGTAGAGGGTGTGCAAGAGGCAGCTGATGACTCTCTCTCATCGATGTTTCTAACTCTCTATCTCTCTCCCTTCCTCTCTGTATAAAATCAATAAAATATATTTAAATAAATAAATAAATAAATAAATAAATAAATAAAAAATAAAACAGTGACATTCATACATACAGTTTATTAATGCTGTCTTCATGGGAACTAGTTTGCAAAAGTGAACACCTGTGTTATATATATGAAAGTAATTTGGTGAAAATTTCTGGGAAGTAATTAATTTGAAGCAGGGGTTATTTTGTCTCCTTCTTCTTTTTCTTCTTCTTCTTCATCGTCACCCAAAGATATTTTTCCATTGATCTTTTAGAAAATGTGGAAGAGAGAGAGGGAAAGACGGAAACATTGATGTGAGAGAAACACATTGATTGGTTGCCTAATGCATGTGCCTTGACAGGGCCTACGCCAGGGAAGAGCCTGCAACCAAGGTGAGTGCCCTTCACTGGAATCGAGCCTGGGACCTTTTGGTCCACAGGCCAACACTTTATCCACTGAGCCAAACCAGCCAAGACTGTGAGACCCTGCTTTCTACTGTGTGACTCACCTTTGATTTCTCTGTTGGTTTTTGTACTGATCTTCCATATCAACATCTTCCCATTTTTTACCTATAATGCAGACCCAGAGAAAGCATTCCAAAGTATTAGAAATTATAGAACATTTATTAGATTTTAGTTCTATAATTAGCTAAGACCATGCCCAGTTTATTTACCAGTGTCCTCCCTCCCCACATTATACACCTTAAGACAATGTTGAAGGATAAGAAATATTTGTCCTTTAAATGAGGAAGTGAAGGGAACTTGTCATCCTTACCTGTGGAAACCAGATTCCTGAAGGTTTCCAGCATCACATCTCTGTAGAGTATCTTCTGTGAAGGCTCCAGTAAGGCCCACTCCTCCAGACTGAAGTTCACAGCCACATCCTCAAAAGCCACTAAGTCCTAAAACATCCCCAAATGTGTGTACAGTAGGATGAGTGAGACTGATTGCACTGGACATATAGACTCCATTTATAAGAAGGTAACATCTGATTCTATCATTTCCAAACATTTATACTATGAGTTAATCATCAATAATTTACTCTATCTACACTTAATTTTTTATAAAATTAATACCATCATAAGCAAGTAAAAATTACCACATTTTTACTGTGATCACATTACATCATATCTTTCTCTTACGTCAGGGTTCAGAGTATACTGGAAATGACAGACATGTTACACTAATAAAATAAATATTATTATTTTAAAACCATCTGCCCTGGCAGATGTGGCTCAGTTGGTTGGGCATTGTTCTATGCACCAAAAGGTTGCTGGTTGGATTCCTGGTCAGGTCGCATACCCCAGTTGTGGGCTCAATCCCCAGTGGGGGGCGTGCTGGAGGCAGCTGATTGTTGTTCACTCTCACATCGATGTTTCTTTTTTTCTCTCACTCTCCCAACCTCTCTCTCTAAAAAGCATATATATATATATATATATATATATATATATATATATATATATATATATATATGAAACCCCTAGGAGCTCACCTCATTCACAGGGTACAATCATCCTCGTTCCCCCTGAAAACACCCTCCTATTGGGGGGCTCCAGCCTCAGCCACACCTGCACACTAGAGACACAGGTAGGTTCCAGCCAACACATTGTCCCAGGACCACTCACCGCAAGGAGAGCTTTATTCTCAACCTCCTGCTGCCAGACATCAAGGAGTGGCTAAACCTGCCCCCCCAGATCCTCTGAGCACAGAACCCAGGCTCTGTGATCACGGTCAGCAATGCAACAAAGAATGGCACAGCTCAGGGGAAGGGCTCCCCCGCAGGCAGCTGAGCCCAGAGTGGGAGCCTCCAGGGTCTTATCAACCAGACAGGTAAGGACAGGGGAAGGGAGGGGCAGGGCTTAGGTTTTCAGTAAACAAATATCAAAAGTGTGAATCTACTCTCCTTCCAAGAACAAATACCAGTGAGGAAAAAGGGAATTCTCACTGGCTTGTTTGTATATAAACACTAACAAGATGATCAAAAGTGATTAAAATTGATTACTTGAGGGTGGATGGAGTAAGAGCACAAAGGTAGAACAGGATATACCAGTATAGGCAGGGAGTTTCCTTAAGTTAGTTTCCTAGCTTAGAAACGAAATTAACCTTCCAATATACTATTTCTTTTTTTTAAGGAAAAATGTAGCCAGAGTGGCTCAGTGGTTGAGTGTCAATCTATGAACCAGGAGGTCACGGTTTGATTCCCAAAGGCATATGCCTGGGTTGCAGACTCCATCCCCAATGTGGGGCATGCAGGAGGCAGCAGATCAGTGATTCCTTCTCATCACTGATGTTTCTATCTCCCTCATCCTCTCTCTTCCTCACTAAAATCAATTTTTAAAAATTTTAAGAAAAAATATTTATTTATACACCATATCTTCTATGCTTAATCAGTATTTTAATTAGCTTTTGCTTTTTAGAATTAATTTAATTTTACCTTTTCTACATAGAATACCCTCCAAGATTTAATCCTTGAAACAGTAATGAATATAAAATATGAGATCATCAAAACTTTCCCAACCTCTCTCTCACAAAAGGGACAAGATGTGTTATAACCATTTGTCCCTTCACTGTATTTCACACTGGGGATATTTTTTGGGAATGAGAAGCATATAATAATGCATTAGGAGTTTGCAATGAAGACCTAAAAAATAACATGATTTTCATAAATTCTTACAAGTTTTGAGGTGTTTCCCTCATGTCAATAAAAATATAAACTCAATTGCTTTTTTTCCATATCCATTAAAATTGGTTAATCTGTTGCCTTAGAAATGGCAAACCTTTCTCTTTTTTTAATATATTTTATTGATTTTTTACAGAGAGGAAGAGAGAGGGATAAAGAGTTAGAAACATCGATGAGAGAGAATCATCAATCAGCTGCCTCTTGCACACCCCTACTGGGGATGTGCCCGCAACCAATGTACATGCCCTTGACTGGAATCGAACCTGGGACCCTTCAGTCCGCAGGCTGACGCTCTATCCACTGAGCCAAACCGGTTTCGGCAGAAATGGCAAACCTTTTCAATGTGCAAGTTCTCTAGCGACATGAACATACAAACACTGCGCCCCAAAATAGGAAAAACACATGAGAATTTAAAACACTCACCTCATATCTTCAGGTTCTCTTGCTAAATGGAACCAAAATTCTCCTTGATTCCACAATTATCACATTGTATCTGTAATCAACTTACAGATTAAAAGCCCAGGTGCTAGAGGAAACTAGATCACAGGGCTGCAATATTCACTGGAGAAAGCAATTCAATAAAAGGAAACACAGCCCTAACCGGTTTGACTCAGTGGATAGAGTGTCGGCCTGCAGACTGAAGAGTCCCAGGCTCGATTCCAGTCAGGGGCACATGCTTGGGTTGCTTGCAGGAGGCAACCAATCAATGATTCTCTCTCATCATTGATGTTTCTATCTCTCTCTCCCTCTTCCTTCCTCTCTGAAGGCAATAATAATAATAATGAAGAAGAAGAAGAAGAAGAAGAAGAAGAAGAAGAAGAAGAAGAAGAAGAAGAAGAAGAAGAAGAAGAAGAAGAAGGGTAAATGAATGAGCCCTAGCTAGTTTGGCTCAGTGGATAAAGCGTTGGCCTGTGGACTAGGGTTCTGGGTTCAATTCCGGTCAGTGGCATGTACCTTGGTTGTGGGCACATCCCTAGTTGGGGCGGGGGGTGTGCAGGAGGCAGCTGATTGATGTTTCTTACTCTCTTTCCCTCTCCCTACCTTTCTGTAAAAAAAAAAAAAAAAAAAAAAAAAAAAAAAAAAAAAAAAAATCAATAAAATATTTTAAAAACAAATGAATTAAAAAAAAAAAAAGGGAACACAAATATTGAAATCAAGATAAGCAGCCTGCTTCCCTCCAGTTCAGAAGGAAACGCACACTCAGAAAGTGGAAAGTTGAGTCTGCAGCCATACCACCCTGAACGCGCCCGATCGTCTGATCTCGGAAGCTAAGCAGGGTCGGGCCTGGTTAGTGCTTGGATGGGAGAAAGTGGAAAGTTGCCACTAAGGGTCTAGACACCCCCTGCTGAGATAAACCCTCTGCAGTGGGTCAACCCCTGGGGAAGGACATGGGTGAAGCTGAGGAGCCCAGGAGTGAGCATGGGAGCCCCACACACCCTCCTCTCTCCTGTAAGCATGGAAATGCTCCCTCCCCAGGATTCCATTCTCACAGGTGAGGCAACTCTCAGCCTGAAACCTCCCAATGTGTAAGCTCTCTGTCTATGGGACAGAAGCCCTGGTCTTCACAGACCGCTCAGTGTGCACACATTACACTCTGAATGCAAAATATCCAGGCCCCAGGAGCAATAATTACAACCTCAGAGAGGACTTCATCACTGCACCTGCCCGGCACTTACAGCTCATTTCCAGGACGCTGTAGCTTTTCTCATGAAACTACTTGAACACTTCTGCTCTGCAAAAGGACACCCTAGAATTGTATTTGTTTTGTTTTAAATATGTGTTTAAAAAAAAAAATAGGAAGGAAGCCGAAACTGGTTTGGCTCAGTGGATAGAGAATCTGTCTGCAGACTGGAGGGTCCCGAGTTCGATTCCGGTCAAGGGTGTGTACCTTGGTTGCGGCACATACCCAGTGGGGGGGTGTGCAGGAGGCAGCGGGGTTGATGTTTCTCTCTCATCGATGTTTCTAGCTCCCTGTCCCTCTCCCTTCCTCTCTGTAAAAAAATCAAAAAATATATTTTAAAGAAATAGGAAGGGAGAAGGTGAGAAAGATAGAAACATCAATGATGAGTGACAATCATTGATTGGCTGCCTCTTGTATGCCCCCCTTCCCCCATCTGGCGATGAAACCAAAACCCTAGCAGGTGCCCTAATCAGGAATGGAACCTTGATATCCTGGTTTGTAGGTCAATGCTCAACCATTTAGCCACACCAGCCGGGCTGGAATTGTATTTGAAAACACCCTATCTATAATACATAAGAAATGTCCAAAGCCTGCAGATAATTTTTATGAGTTTATTTGGACCAAGACTGTTGACAATTGCGAGGAATCGAGATCTAAAATGCTCCAAAGAATAACAGTTTTGCAGTTTCTTTTATACATTTGAAATTAAGGAGGGGCTATAAGAAAGATCACTTGAGGGTAGGGGATTGGATTACAGGATAATTAACAAGATGATGTGCTCTCTTGGAGAATATTAATTAGAGCATTTTATTATTTTTATTTTTTATTAATTTCAGAGAGGAAGGAAGAGATAGAAACATCAATGATGAGAGAGATTGATTGGTTGCCTTCTGTATGGCCCGACTGGGAATCAAGCCCGAAACCTAGGCATGTGCTCTGACCAAGAATCGAACCATGACCGCCTGGTTCATATGTCAAGGCTCAACCACTGAGCCCCACCAGTTGGGCTAATTACAGCATTTTTTTAAAAAGTATATTTTATTGATTTTTCTTACAGAGAGGAAGGAAGAGGGATAGAAAGTTTGAATCACCGATGAGAAACAACAATCAGCTGCCTCCTGCACACACCCTCTTGAGGATGTGCCCACAACCAAGGTACATGCCCTTCATCAGAATGGAACCTGGGACCCTCGAGTCTGCAGGCGGAAGCTCTATCCACTGAGCCAAATCAGTTGAGGCAAATTACGGCATTTTCAAGGTGTGTTACTCCAGATGCACAAGAATAATGGGTAGGGCTGGCTTAGAACCTCTGACTAATGGAGTTATAGGCCTGAGGTCTGGCTATCCACCATGACCTGCCCAACTAAGAATGTGACCAGATCACCCATGAGATTACTTTTCACTGCCCCCCCCCCCTCCTGTTTTCCGGTCCACAACTTAAAAGCAAAACAAACTTCAGAAACTCACTGCACATTTTCAGGAGAAAAGAATGAAAGAACTCTATTAGGCCCACTGTATAGCGATAAGAATCTAATACTGAAATATTTCATTTTTTCAGAGTTTACCTTTTGTCCCTGTTTGGAACTACTTTATACTGTCTCTCAAACTCTCCTGGTGAAAAACATTTTTTTCCTAATGAGAAAAAAATTAGACACCCGTCAATAAAGGTTTTCAAGGTGACAGAGTCAGGGAGGGGCAGTGCTGGCAAAAGAGAACGCTCAGGGCTGAGGCCGGTTAGAGCGTCAGCCTGCAGAGTCCTGGGTTCAATTCCAGTCAAGGGCATGTACCTTGGTTGCAGGCACATCCCCAGTGGGGGGGGGGGGGGTGCAGGAGGCAGCTGATCAATGTTTCTCTCTCATCGATGTTTCTAACTATCCCTCTCTCTTCCTCTCTGTAAAAAAATCAACAAAATATAGTTGCTTTTTTTAAAAAGAGAACACTCGAGAAAAATTTCCCCAAAATAGCGGAACCTCCATCCACAGGCCTTCCCATAGGATTGCCTGTGCCCAGGCAAGACCCTGGGAAAAGAGGCAAAAGGGTTTCACACCACATATTTCAGGCAGTTATTCTAGGGTCCTTTTTCCCCTATAAAATGTTCACAGACAAATATAAATTTTAAAAAGAGGACATTCCATTACCCTGTTAGGAAATAT